ACAGCCAGAATGCTATCGGCATCACTGGCACAGATGGCCATAGCCCACTTACTCACTCTTAATGAAAACACAGAGAGCAGCCAACACAGGATCCAGGAGCTGAATTAACCTCTGCAACATCGAGGCCGTGCACAATGCTCTGATGTGAGAAGATGCGCTTCCTGATGTGCCATGAGGACAGCTTTATTCTTACTGGTGCTGCCTGAAGGGTGCCAGTCAGGCGTTSCTCTCCCCTTTCCTCTGGCTCTKGATTCCCCAGGSAGAGTGATGGGTGTACTTACAGTGATCTGATGGCCATGCAGCATGCCTGCCTGGAGGATATGGCTCCTGGACTMAGGGAGTGATCACCTGCACTCACTATAAATCCCATATTCAACATGTTGACTCCCATGTTGATAGGATCAACAGGATGCCAAACAAATGCCCTCAGTGCCTGGAATGCTTGGATTGCATTTTCTTTGGTTGAAATGGCCACTAAGAGTAAACCTAAATGAAAACTAARCATACAGAAGAGAATGTTTGCATTTGAATGTTGAAACTAGGCCTAACAAAGAGAGGGGCTTTGCTTTCTGCAAGCTAAATAATTTCTMGCTGATCCATCTACTGAAATTCATTGAAAGCGTTGGAAAAAAGCCCCACCCCAAAAACCCAAAGATATTTTGGTGGGCTAGTCAATGTTTTACAGTGTTTCAAAAGGCTTTTGATTGAATCACTAAGCTAGAGAGGACTCAAACAGCTAAGTAACCACTGGTCAAAAAGAAAAGTACAATCATGGTTCAAGAACTGGAGAGGGAAAACAAAGAGCAGAATTGAACTGCGAGTTTCTGTGATGGCAGAAGGTTAACGCCAGCCAGCTTTGGGCCTCTGCAGCAAGTCTCATATTGCTGCTGTATTTACCACTGCTCTAGAAAGAGGGCTGTATTGTGAGAWGGCAACATTTGCAGCTGTCGTAATTATTTCAGCTAAGCAAGACAAGAGGGGACTGTGATGATGAGGAAGTGCTAACGAAACAGAATGCACCATGTAATGGTGAATTAAGTTCAATACTGAAAAWGCAAAACAACACACATTAGAGAGGAACACAAGTACTGCTTCTAAATCTGACAATCTCCCATTTCATTTATACCAACCAGAATGTAGAAACTAAGCATTTATGTAAATATCTCTGYAAATATCTCTATAAATATCTCTAATCCTCCAGAAGCTGTAGTCAGAAAACACRTTAGTGGAGCACAGGAAGAATAAGTAACATTCTGGTTATCACAATAGATTGGTAATAGGTAATATTAAAATTACCTCTACAAAACCTCTAGCATAGTGCGCAATCCATCCTTACTCAGAAAAAGTGATGTGAATGTGCTTGTCTAGGAGCATATTTTGGATAAAAGTCTTTTACAAAAAGCGATGTTTTGTTACACTTGGATTTTCTATCCTTGRAAGGTGGCAAAAGATGCAAAAAAGCACCAGAGCAGCAACATAAGGAATAATGTCAAGAAGTAAGTGCAGAAACACCTGCTCTCCTGTTCAGGAAACAGGAACCTGATGGTGGCAATCTCAAAATGGGTGACATGAAGCATTTTGGTACAAATGCTAAAAGTGAGACACAACTGAGGAAGTAGGTACRGTAAAACATTTATTGACAATCACCRAACAGTTAAGGCACATCTACACTTACAACCGCAACAAATATATCTCCCAATGTCTACAGTTAGCCAAACACTGTAATTTTTTTTTAAATGAAAATTACTAAGCTTCATGGTTTACAACAACCTCTAGGTATTAGAAAGCAAACTTATATATAGTGGGAGATAGCCTACCAGTGCCAGGGTAATTGACCCTCAGGCATAGTTCAGCATGTGTTTTGACATCCATCCTAGGCACTTGTACAGTTTGCAGCTCCTCTTCATAGGATATTTTTAGATTTTTTTTATCCAGCCATAATTGCTATTAGACATCATGAAGAAGTCTCATGGTGACAGGGTATTTTGGTAACTATAGGTAAGAAATGTTATATATAGCTATGTTATAGCTTCATGCAAGCCTTTGCAAGTGTCACACCTGCATTACCTCACAMGCCATTTCACACAGATGAAGCGTAATTAACCTCCTCTATTTCCTGCTCCCGTGCCCATTCTCCAACAAGCTGGCAGCAGGAAAGGGGTTTGTGAAGTGATCAGTATTTCAGGTTCATAGAATCACAGAGTTGTTAGGGTTGGAAGAGATCATCCAGTTCAACTTTCTTGCCAAGGCAGGGTCACCTACAGTAGGTGACACARGAACATGTCCATGTGTGTTTGGAATGTCTCCAAAGAGAGAGMCTCTACAAGCTCCCCAGGCAGCCTKTTCCTGTGCTCTGTCACCCTCAGTGTAAAGAATTTATTCCACATATTCAGGTGAAATTTCTCTTTTAATTTATGGCCATTGCTCCTTTTCCTGTTGCTGGGCACCACTGAAGAGTCTRGCACCATCCTCTTGACACCCACCTTTGAGATATTTATATGCATTAATGAGATGCCCTCTCAGTCTTCTCCAGACCAAACAGGCCTAGCCCCCACAGCTTCTCCTCATAAGAGAGATGCTCCAGACCCCTCATTATCTTTGTGGCCTTTGCTGAACCCTCTCCAGAATCTTCTTGTTTTTCTTGTACTGAGGAGCCCAAAATTGCACACAAGTTCTAGACCTGCCAGTGACAGTCTCTTCCTCTTCTGACGTTTTCCAAGCCAGGTGTGCCAATCTGTAAACCACTTTTGTTTCACTGCTGCCATGTGAATATATCAGTGCAGGCAACCATTGACTAGCCAACAACATTAAGCACAAACAAAACCACCCTGCAACACACAAACCAAAGAAGGAAAGCAGGCCCTGAACAAAACCCCCTCAGAAACACTGCRCTGCTCCTCCTGTCCTGAGCTGGGCCATTCCCAAGCTTTCCCACCTCTGGGAAATGTTCTCAGTGGCATTTCCCCATACCAACGGTAGTGCTGGACACAAGGTGTGGGCAGCAGACCCATATTGTGCCTGTCGGGTGGCACAGCCTCCTGGCACCACACACCAGCCTGTCCCCATCTTTTTTCCCCACTCACCATCCCCAATGGCAGCAGAGCTGGCTGCGGTGCCTTCTTCTTCTCCAGCTTCATGTTATGCCCACGCCTGAAGGTGGGTAACTGAGGTTCTTGGGGTGGATCACAGTGAAATGACACTGAATGATTGGTGTTTACATACATACATACATACATATACATACATATATATATATACACATACATAATGTGTGTAGTTTACATTCTTTTGCAAGAATCACGGTTTGATCTGCCATTGCTTGTGGGTCATGCCAACTGTTACGAGCCCAGGGCATACTCAGAGGAAACGTGTCAGCATCATGGCTGTTTAATTTCATTAGGAGGGAACAATCCCCATTGGACTCACCCTGGATGGTCATTCCTTTTGAATCTGWCATTAACATGCTGAGGGTTAATGTCTTTCTCCCTATTACCCCTGGGAAGATCAGCTAGACTTTGTCCCAGAGAAAACCTTTCAACAGGTCCACGTTTACACCAGAAAACTCTTCAACAGGTCTGATGTGCCCAGGTCAATACCGAGAGGAGAATTATCATTACAGTCTCATGATCGGTGACAGGACTCAAGGAAATGGCATGAAGCTGAATCAGGGGAGGTTTAGGGTAGACRTCAGGAAAAGGTTCTTCACCCATGGGATGGCTGRGCACTGGAACAGGTTCTCCATASAGGACGTCACAGCACCAAGCSCAACRGAGCTCAAGAAGCATTTGGACAAAGCTCTGTAGCAGCATATTCTGATTCCATGATAATTTCGTAACGAGGGGACAGTCACCATTTGAGTGGCCCTCAGCGGTAACACCCCTCAGTAACCCACCGAGGATCTGTGTCCCTTTCCCCACTACCCTCGGGGGGAGTCTGTCAGACTTCCTTCTGGAGAAAAGCTTGCGACAGATCGGGGTCACGCCAGAGAGCCCTACAACAGCTTCAGCCCGTGCCGATCACTCCAGCAGCAGTTCCGAGAGAACTCGCCGGTGCCGCCGGTCCAATTCCCGTGCAATCACCCGCTCCCGCTCCCGCTCCCTCACGCTCCGCTCCCTCCGCGCCTCGCGCCCGCCGATGGGCGGAGGCCCCGCCCCGTCGCGAGCGCGAGGAGTAGGCGGGGCCGGGCCGCGGGCTC